AATGCGTTATAAGTTACCATAAATGTTATATAAATGATAATATTAGCCACTTGGAATATATTGATTACATGTAATACCTTAAAACCTTACATGAATAAGCCATTATAAATGCTTATACATATTTATATAAATGATTATAAGTATGTTATAACCGACTATACATATTATAATGCTGTTTAATCGTAACGCTTATAATTCGTATAAATGCTCACCATTATGAATAAACTCATTGTGGACTGGAAGGCCATTGAAGTCTCCACAGAGACCACAGGTACGGTTGGTGTACTCTGAGTCCAGCTCCACCTAACGCAAACAGTGATGGGGTCAACTATTTTTCAAGGTAGACTCAGCGAAACGACGTTGCCACGAGCAGCAGCTCAGATACCGAGTTGAGAGAGACGCAAGACAACGCTCACACACAGTATCTGTGCATCTGCACAGGTTCGTTTTACGCTGGTTCACTGTTTAACGATAACAGTCCATTTCAGTGAAACGTATTGAATTCTTACAAAGCAAAATAAAAAAAAGATATACTGTTTTGATTCTTATAACGGCTTACCATGACGGCATCTTCTCCATTCCACATGACAACCAGGCCAACCTTGGAGTAGAGTTTGGTGTAAACTGCATTCCGCTCCAGTTGGACTCCTCCATTGTAGTAGGGCAGAGTTACACTGGGAATAAAGATCGTGAACGTCATTAATAACATAGATTACATAGAAATGTGTCAATTAACAACAAAGGGACAGAAAATACAGTTAAATCCTTTGAATTCAAAAGGAAATCCCTGGAAATATGTCAGAGCACTGTCTCAGATGTGAATAGCTAACAGCATTATATAAATCCATTACTTTTTGCAGAGAGGAATTGTCATAGATAGATATATCAATACTTTACTGATCCCCAAAAGTAAATTATTTGGCTGATTCATCCAGTGACAGTCCATCTGACTATTCCACGTCTCACTTGGAAAAAAAGGATGTGAATCTCAACGCGACTTCCCTGATGAATCAGAGGACGCACAACAGAAAACATTTGGGGAGCACTTACATTTCTCCATTGACCGTGACCAGAGTCTTGGTCAGGTGGAAGACCAGGTCGTTGATAGTGACCACTACGTGTTTGACCGTAGGGTTCCCCTCATCCTCAGTAGCCTCGTTCCTCTTCAGGTGCACAGAGAACTCCTGGTAGGACTCTGAGTGGCAGTCGGAGGCCAGGTTGTATTCACAAGTCCCTGGGAACTGGTACACGTCTCCATCGAAGGTCTTGAAGTGCTCTCTGCCCCAGGTGCTGCAGATGCTGTTCACATGGTTGGGCTGGCGAGCTGAGGAGACAGCATGATAAAAAGGGACCCACTTGAAATGTACGGAATCAAAAAGAGACATCATTTATCCGTTTGCTGTAAGTTGTAAATAATGCACCAAGTATTTCAAAATATCCAATTTTAGTGGATTGTGAATCAAGATATTAAAAACATATGGCACTCCTAGACAGACTGCACTCATATTTGCTCCAACCATAATTGTTCCTAATAGCAATATTTGTCTGTTCTTGACTGATAGTTGGTTGGAAATAGATCGATACTTAATCTAACGGCATCTCTCTACGGTATCTATCTCTAATGTTTGACTGCTTGTCTTTGTCTGCATAGATCAAAATAAATCACTGCTATTTCCAAAATGATCCTGTATCGTCTTACCCTTCTTGGCTTTCACCTGGACGGCGCTCGTTAGTGGCAGAGCGAGAACACACAACCACAGAGTTGTCCACCCCATAGTTAGTGGCCAGGTGAAGTGGGCTTCAGGTAAAAGTGTAGAGTGCTGCTTGACAGCCTCCTTTATATTGGCATTGTTCAATCTGTGTCTGTCGGTTCACACCCCTCAGAAGGAGGATGTCAAGCCACTTTATTGAGACTTGGTAAACATGTCTATTGACAGGGCCAGATTACCGACTGGGCACTCAGATAATATAAGCAACACGGCACACGTCATTGCAAAATGTGAAGAATTGCAGGAAATTAGCTTTAAAACAGCAACATTTTCTCTTCGTTACCAAGAGGGGGGCCTCTAAAATGTTCTTGTGCAGGGCCCCAGATTTGGGTTTATTCCAGCCCTGTCTAAGGAAATTCAACCACTTTCAGAAGTCCCCTTGTCTCTATCCCCTTGGCTATTTATTATGGACATTATTTGGAGTAGATAGCCTGATACCCATTTCACACTATAAGGTTGACCCTTGTCACATTGTCCTTTTCTGCATGGTTCCAGCAACTGTGCTGGATGTGTAACCAGGCCGGCCCTGTACAGCTCAGCTTGACTTGACTCATTTGGGTCTTACAGTGTGAATCCGACTTAAGAGTTGTTTTAGCAATCACCCAAAAAATACTTCCTACTGTGTTTTTTAATATATACTCCTGATTGAAACTCTATCGATTATATCTCAGCATCAGTATCACTATTTACACGATCAATATGGATTAATACCCAAGATTAGAGTCATGATGACTTTATTACATCCTCATAATGGTAAACGCCTCGTACTTCCTGTAATCTAAGGTGAATATGTCAACATTACACAGGTTCAGAGCAGTTCAACCTCAGTTTAAACTGTGTAGTGATGCGTGTACCAGTATGCGTGAGGCCTGGATGACGCCAGTGACAGAACGAGGCCGTGTCCTGAAGGACACCCTATTCCCTATACAGTATACTACTTTTGACCAGGCCCCGTAGGTCTCTAGGTCAAAAGTAGTATACTATATAGGCAACAGGGATCCATTTGGGACGCGGTCAGCGTCTGTCCCCAGCAGCAGCAGCAGCAGCTCAGTAGAAGGGTTCAATCAGGGATATATAAGAGTCATCTATATATGGTTCAGGGTTATGGCATCTCCTGTCTGCCATCTGTTTCTCTTGAAGGAGGAGCAACCGAGGCCGTCAACAGTGCTACATCCTGGTCCCGGCCATGTTCCCAACCCTTTCAGACCCTTTCCAGCCTGGATACCAGTCTGTTTTCAGCTAATCTTGTCAACTTCTCGTCATTCATTGGCTCGCCAAACTTGACAAATTTCATAAGACAGTTATATATAGGAAATCTAACAACACACTGGCACCCAGGCTAGAAACGTTCTACTGTGGGTACAAGACGTTACACAGGCTATGGGACATTGCTGTTAGATTAGATGTTACTGTATGTCATTATTCTGTCTCAGGACACTGACTGATCCTTTGTCACTTTTCTCCTCAGCGTCTTCGATACCGGTTCATTTTAAAGGTAGACTCAGTGATATGATGTAGATGCAGAAAGTAAACAGCATAGTGGGTCAATTTCAGCAACAACCAAGAGTGTTGAAGGGAGAGGCTCAACTTCTCCTCTGTTTTGGTGCCCCTGGCTACCACCCTGGGAACAGAGTGAAGCGAACCCGTACATACATTATACATTCAAAGGCTGTACATCACCATTCCATGAATTTATGTGTCAACAATCGCAAGTTGATAATTGCTTACACACTTCTTATTAGGGGTGTAACGATCCATCTCCTACATCGATGTATCGATTTATATTCCTATGATCCAACTACATCGATCTGTGCTCGGCGAGTTGGCCTTTTGGACAACATATATCAATCTAACATCGTTTTAAAATGCAATAAATCAATTGTATCGATACTAGGAAATAACCCATTGGATTTAAGCACGTCAGACTTTATATGGATGTTTTTTCTTAGCACTTTTAATGATAAAGGCTTTAAACATTACTCGATTCAGTCTGCCTATCCGTGACGTCATCGCCCCGCGCCAGCAGCAGCGCAAAGGCGCAAAGACAACAAAACATAGCATGGCGGACGACAGAGGAGAAGCCACCATTGCGGTCCTTACAAGAAACAGGAATCTAGGAAACTTCACCTGCACTGTCCAGTATCCAGGTATTTATTTCAGTCACACTGGTTGAATTTTTGGCTAAAAGGTTACGGAATCGATTTCAAGTCACTGAATCGTTTCGGATCGTATCGTTCTAAATGAACCAATATCGTCCTTGAATCGTATCGACAACCACGAATCGTGATACAAATCGAATCGTTGTTAAAACGAATCGTTACACCCCTACTTCTTATGAATGCATGTAAGTGTTGTGAAGAATGGTCTGGACTGTAGGTGCTGTGATTTGATAAAGTTGACATGACATGGAGGGTAAGGTCAATGACAGGTATGGAGGGTAAGGTATGGAGGGTAAGGTCAATGACAGGTATGGAGGGTAAGGTATGGAGGGTAAGGTCAATGACAGGTATGGAGGGTAAGGTATGGAGGGTAAGGTATGGAGGGTAAGGTATGGAGGGTAAGGTCAATGACAGGTATGGAGGGTAAGGTATGGAGGGTAAGGTATGGAGGGTAAGGAATGGAGGGTAAGGTCAATGACAGGTATGGAGGGTAAGGTATGGAGGGTAAGGTCAATGACAGGTATGGAGGGTAAGGTATGGAGGGTAAGGTATGGAGGGTAAGGTATGGAGGGTAAGGTATGGAGGGTAAGGTCAATGACAGGTATGGAGGGTAAGGTATAGAGGGTAAGGTCAATGACAGGTATGGAAGCTGTACAGTTGTGGAGTTGTTCAGGGAAACAATATGATTGAGTTTCTGTGACTTTCATCAATCAAGAGGAAATATTGATTCAGGCCCGTATTCATAAAGCTTCTTGGAGTAGGTCTAGGATCAGATCCATGTAATCTATAATCTATAATCATTATAGATCTGATCAGCACGCTGAGACGCTTTATGAATATGGGCCCTGGGTCACACTACAGATGGATGTTGTACTTTCGCCAAGAATTGCTCAAGATCGGCACCTGTATGTGTTTATACCAGCATGCAGTTGTCTCAGTGTTCACCGTTGTAGTGCCGTCATGCCCATGTAACACAGTAGCGAAACAACAAGAAGACAAACAACTTTCCTTTACTGCAAACTTTTTTTTTTTTTTTTTATCAAGTGAGTAAATTGAGGTTAGCCAATAAACGTCGATTTGAGGTTAGAAGATCTCGGTGTATCTTGGCAGCAAAACAGGAATGTACAGTTCTGTCCCACCACACCATAAAGACAAACAGGGTGACAGCCAGCCAGTTGCTGCTCCATAGATACCCCTCCAAGGACAAATACAGGCATCTTTTATACTGTCCAAGTTGAGTGCGTGAGTCTAACCACTCCCGTCAGCTAGACAGCTGCATACTTGGTCACGTCCTCAACCATTCCCCTCCACCACCTAACAGCAGGTAGTCTACACTGTTGGTTTAGGGCGGATGGCCGTCCTTTCTGAGATATGTTATTGCGTTTATTAACAATGCGTTGTTGTAGTCTGTTGACGCTGTATGTTTGATATCAAATACTTGTCACCGACTGATACACACGTGGGTTAATCTTGTACACAGGACTCACTCTCGATGAGGTTTACACGTGGGTTTTCACATTCTATGTGGGCTATTTTACCAGGAAGTGAATTTAATTTAACTTTAATTTAAATGTAATGTGTGTTCTCTTTAATCATATTAAAACTGTCCTGCTTTAAATGACATTCAGCTTATAAAGGCTTCATAATGCCTTCATAAGCACTACATAAAACCTTCATAATCTCTTCATAAAGCCTTCATAAGCACTACATAAATGTGTTACACAGCATCTATAACCGTATGTCATGCTTTATAAAGGGTTCATAAACGTGGCATAACTGTGTGAAATAACCACCGATGTCAAACGTGACATAAGTTATAACCCACTATGTGGAATATGAAATAAACGTGTGCTTTATAAAAGGTGACATGTTGTGCTGAAGGATGACATACGCTCTGAAGTGATGTCATGTTAGTCACGTTACACCTAATCTCGTTCCCAGACACTTCTGCCCCAAATGAAGGTCTGGTGGACCAACTCATCAACCTTGGCCTTCATTAGTTAGGGTTAGGTTTAAAATCCCATTTTAAGAAGGTAAACTGTGGAAATGGGCAGGGGATTAGCCATAATTATGACTTGACTGTGTTAAGTAGTGACGACGACAAATACTTTACTCAGTGAGGTCACTCCTATAGAATTCGATAGTCACTCCCTCTAAGGCCAACTCTGAATGGTTGGTATCCCAGGCTCATATGTGCTGTGAGTGCAATAGCCTGGGGACGACGTTACACCAAGAAACACTTACCTTGATGAAAGCCCCCCAACCTAAAGAAATTGAAAGTGTCTTTCTTCTGGATCCAAGTTACATGTTCCTAAGTACACAAACAAGCACACATCAAAAGCGAGCCATACCGAGCGGTGCTGGGCCCAGTCAGGTCTTTGACACATTCACCCACTCCCCCTGCTGAAAGATCAGCCACAAAAAGTTGGCACCATTGTGACAGGTTGAAATCAAGCCCTGGTCTCCATGGGAACAGAAGAGGAATACCTGGTACGGTGGTCTCAGGTTGGACCACTCCAAATCATCTAGTTTCTAACACACACACACACACACACACACACACACACACACACACACACACACACACACACACACACACACAAGCTTTGCAGGTCCATCAACCCATTTAAATACCTCTCACACCCTACAGTAACCTGTGGATCATGAGAGAACCTTCATAAAATCAACAGAATGTTAATAACCTATTTATTGACACTTTATGTGGTGTCCTGTAATACTTAGTTTGAAGTCAGACCCCTTTGGTAATTTATAACACATCCATAAAGACTCTATATCTCATGACGCTCTACTTGCTTTAAAGTCAGACCCCTTTGTTCATTTATAACA